TNTTTTTTTTTAATTCTTTCTTAGCACAACCCTTCTTGAAAGAAATGACAACAACAACAACAACATCAACAAAGAAAAAAAAATTGGCTCAATACACTACTTACGTGCACACCGCGTTGCGAGAGAGAGAAGGTACTCAAAGTTTCCTAGTCGTTTCCCCTTGCTCACAAGACTAGGCACCTCGACTTTTACTTTACTGCTTACGCCGACTCCTATTTCGGTGCTTAGCTGTCATCCAATATATGCATGGTTTACGCACACCAGCATGCAGATGCAAAGAAAGAAAACCGGGCCTATTGCTATAAGCACATACAGGTCCAAGACGTGTGTGTGAGTGTGTGTGTGTGTGTGCATGGTGCAACGGTGGGATCCTGCATCTCGTTACGTGGAGCATTACACCAAGTACACGTACTGTACGTAAAAATGGGGCATCCCAGTGCGGCATTTCGAGATTTTTTTGTTTTCCCCCTTGGAAGCCAAGAGAGACGCTGCTATTTTTGACAAATGACTACAATCAAATGGCCTTGGTCGTTGAAAGAAACTTTTGATATTATTATTATTATTATTATTAACGTGGTTCATAAGCGAGTCGGTCACCCAAGCGAGTCGGTCACTCCCCACCAGCGCGTCGACGTTGATACTACAACGCGTTATGTCTCAACAACACAACTATCAATTAACTTATCCTAAATCAGATCTTCAACTTGCTCTTTTTGATATCCAATCACAACGTGTTTAAAGCTAAAGACGCGCTGCCTCTATCTATAACGTGCCTCAAAGTACAATATCTGATCAACAGGCTGGAAAGCGCCCCCGACGCGACTGTGAACCGAATTCAAAGCGCCTAAATAAGTTAGAAGAGGAGGCTATTATTAGACGTATTTTTGAAGAGTCTGCGCGTGGATTTGCCCCTACAAAGGCTGAGGTTCGAGCAATGGCTAATAAACTGTTAGAGGAGCGTGGTGGCAACCCTATTGGCAAGAATTGGGTTGACAACTTTGTTAGGCGGACTGCTGAGCTCCGTACGCGCTGGAGCCGTCCCTATGATCACCAGCGAGCCGCCTGCGAGGACCTAGTGGCTATCCAGCGCTGGTTTGACTTAGTCCAGGCGACAAGGCAGAAGTGGGGTATTGTAGACGACGATATCTACAACTTTAACGAAACTAGCTTTATAATGGGCAAGATTTTATTACAGTTATTAATCACAGCATTAGAAGAATATAGGAAAAAGAAGCGGATACAGCCAGGCAACCGTGAGTGGGTTACTGTGATCCAAGGCGTGGGCGCGTCGGGTCGCCAGATACCACCGTTCGTTGTCTTTGCGGGCAAGGTGCTTATCAACGTCTAGTTTAAGAATTTGCCTGCCGACTGGGTTCTTAAAGTCAGTCCTAATAGCTGGACGAATAATCAGCTTGGTCTTGCCTGGTTAGAGCACTTTGATACCCATACAAAGAGGCATACTGTGGGTGGGTATCGACTGCTCATTATCGACGGCCATGAGAGCCACTGCTCTATCGATTTTCAAGATCTTTGCAAGGAGAAGAATATTATTCTTCTCTGCATGCCTCCACACTCGTCTCACCTGTTGCAGCCCCTTGACGTCGCCTGCTTCTCGCCGTTGAAGCGCAAGTATGGCGACGCTGTTTCAGGCTTGGCACGCAACCGCACCCACTATATTAGCAAGGAAACCTTCCTACCAGCCTTTAAGGCTGCTTTTGAGCAGTCTATCACGAAGGAGAATATCCAAGCTAGCTTTAGAGGCGCTGGTCTAGTCCCACATGACCCACAGGCTGTGCTATCTAAGCCTGATGTAGTGGTGCAGACGCCAGTACAATCACCACGACGGACAGCCGCCTGGCAGGCGCAG